CCAAAATGCCTGGTTTTCCTCTGACCCTCCACAAACACTTAATTTCCCTACGTATCGATTTAATTGTGAATGTTGTTGACATTTTGGGAAATTCGTCACATAAAAATCACACCCGATACTTTGTAGATTAGGCGTGATTATTGACTAACCTATTCAGTCGTATTGAGTCCGATACACGTAGTCTAGTATTATTCGCTTTCAAACGATATTCCGTCAAGCTGGTCAATCGATATTACCTGAAAGACTGGATCTGCACATTCCAGTTGCGCTGCCATAGTTCCACAGAAGCAAAACACCTACCATTTTCAACCTTTGTAGTTGATAATAACGGCAGAAGAAAGTATTCTGGTCTAAAAGTGAAATTATATGCAGAAGGACCTAAGTTTGACCCTAACCTTACAGACCTCCCATAATCGCGTTCTGCGAACCAAAGTAATCAAAGATTTGTACATATGGGAGATAAAAACTTCTAAGGCAAAGTAAAAAGAGAGGAATGAACCGGAAACCTTATCTTCAGAGGACATGATACTTAGGGCTAGTTTACCACAGAAAGATCACATCTGATACTCACCTCCACTTCTTCAGTAACAAAGTACGGCTCTGGGGCTTTCTGTTTGGGAGGTTCAGCTTCAGTCCTCTCCTCTTTATCTTCCTTCTTTGGGGATGGTTTTCTTTCCTACAGGCAATCACCAGATGGAACAACCAGGATAGAAACCTGTCAGATTTAACTAAGGGCAACAATTTGTCAGCTGACGGACCACATTTGACAATGTCGTTAGAACTGAACTGAAAATAAGTCGACTACTCGGTATCTTTGTTCATTAAGCAACAAGGGAAGTCTAATGGGTTACTCAAAATCATTGCTTAAGGGAACCTGCTGTAGCAGGTAGTGTGAGCTTTCTGAGCTGGGTAATTTGATAATTCGTCACCAATCGATGTAACGTCATTACAGCTACTATAAATTTGCTAGCTTTGCCCTTCCAGAAGAGAGTCATCTCCATCTGGTATCTATAATAGCAAGACGATTGTAAAGCATCCAGATGAATGATCTAGAACCCAGTCTCATTACTTTCAGGCCTGACTTCTAATCGCTGTTTGCAGGTCACTGTATTCTTTATCATCACTGAGGGCAATCGCTTATTCTGAACGTATTAGTCGCAATGGAGTAAGTTGGGAAAGTTCGACAAAGTCCCGTTTACCTTACCGTCTTTGACTTGACCTATCAGAGGTTGAAGTTTGATACTGAATGTAACTCACATTGGAGAAAAAATTGAAGTGGAGCGATTCGTCATTTTTGCCCAACTTACACTTTGAACATACTCCTTCTGATATGGTTGTTTTGATGCGGTCGCCTGCTCACTCTTTGCCGTTGTCGGTCTGGTTTCCTTCACAGGTTTTGTGTCTTCCATATCGGGAGATTTACGAGGAGCACTTTGTTCTCGTATTCTTTCTCTGAGCGGTTTTCGGCGTTTTGGTGCCCCTGGCTTTTCAAGTTGAACAGTAAGCAGAAAGGAGTATTCATCCTCGTCAAACTCGGCAGACAAAACCTAATTTCAAAATATGCAAGAAATCGATAGTCTAACAACAATATTAGACAAATGGAGACGAAATTACATAAATAGATGATATAGATCATCGGTTTGCAAACTGGGTAAAATATCGATCTGATACCAACTATCTAACGAATTGCACAGAGGTGGATGTTTTGAATAAATGGCAAATTTGAAATGGAATTTGCATTTTAATGCCAAGAGTGATTTTTGTAACCCTACTTCTCGAGACGTTCCACGTTTTCCCCAGCCTAATATTCATTGATGCATAAACACACAAAACTGATCGATTGTGGACCCCGTTACAGGGGTTCAGCAAGTGTCAAAAGCTATGCAACTACCCTTTTAAGGAAAACAAAATGGGCTTTTTCTTAACGTATGTACAAAAGCCAACGAGATTCCTCCTGAACAAGCTCCAGAACTCGAGTTGTTATTGATTTAGTCGGAGCAAGACTGATATCAAAAATACACTAAAACCTTCATTCGATGAAGGCTTAAATCTATCAGAATCATTTTGTAATTGGAACGCAAAACCTATCCAAGGAAAAAGTCAGCAAGTATAAGTGGGACGAGTGCACTAAAACAGGTTATTGTAAGCATAGGCTACAACCTTACGTTTTGTTGACAGAAATTCAGTGTTACAAGTTTATTCCCTGGTTTTACTAATACCAGCAAAACCAATTCAGTTCCCGAGCTACTTTCCTGCAAATGTGACGTCCACACGATCCATTCCCGAACAAAGAAGTGATACCTGGTTTTTGAAAGAGTATACATAACAGACGAATGTAGCACGGTAACTCAGGTGGTTGTCCAGTCATCAGTCCATCATCACCAGTCCATCAAACCAATGGTAAGTCAATAATGGTCCAGTATGAAATTAGTATTTTTCAGGGATTTAGAAAACCATATCTGCTTTCTTGCAGTCACTGTATTTCAAAAGAAATCGACACAAAAGACGTTATTTCTTACACTCATTGGTCTAATAGCCAAGTTGATACCACCCTCTCCGCTGTCATACTAAATTTTATTCGTTTTGAATTTTACCGACTAAATTCTCCTAAGAGATGGAATAAATAGGTGTATTTCGGTTTGACTACTACAAATCAACACCTCTGTTAACTTTGAACAATAATTTGAGCGATCAGAATTGAGGCAGGGAAAGTCAAGTTAATAAAGCCTGTTCCAGCCTCCGCAACATTCATTCCTGTGACGCCACATTTTCTGCTTACATTTCCGATTCCATTTTTAGTGCGTCGCCACAGTACACTGCCAACGAACATGAGGCAAGGAATGCTAAATGTCAAGAACCCTTTGTATCAGTCTATGCTACTGGCTTTGTGTTCTCTTCACTCACTTCGTTTATGCTTCTTTTCATCCGGCCAAAATAGGACGAAATACTCAAGGGTTATATTCCAACCTCGGTTTTAGGAGGGATTTTTCGATGGCTACCACATCCCCTGTTTTTCCTCCGCAGACTTAAGAAGAGAGAGTAAGCACGCCAAGTCTATCTGAGTAGTTACTATCTTGAGTATATTTATCAACCTGCAAGCTGCCCTTTCTGGTAGTTACATTTTGTCCTCTGTACGCTGGTGTACAATGAATCGCTACATTTATTAAGGCATACACAGCTTATAGTGCCAGTATTTTCCTCATGTTATGGGCGTCGAATACTCAGTTAAATCAGAAGAGTGTGCTAATTCTGCGGGATAGTATTTGTTGTGTACCGTTTGTAACCGATACATCACCTCAAAGAAGCTTTTATACCAGCAGAGACATTAGGCTTAGCACCAGACACATAAGAACTAGATTTTTATGAAACGTGTGTTAGCAACGCCTCACAGCAGAGCCGTTTCTCCGGAGGCAATGTCTGGTGAAGGATGTACCTCTAGACCATTCCCTTATGTCAACATGCTTCATAGAGTTGAGAGATAAGCTTGTGTTATTTTGGCGAGCGAAATAGCTAGCATGTGGTCTCCACGTGGAATTCAGCGTATAAGGGTCAAATGGTTTTGCTTGTTCAGAATCATCAATCCCGAATGTAGACCAAGTTCAAAGGCCTATTCCCTCTTTCGTACAGAGTATCCCAGAGATTTGACAACGATTGAGATTGATTCGCGAGTTACTTTACGAACTCGGTTTCCAGGGAGATCCAGATACACTCGGCACACTGTAGACAGCACACGGGGCGGCTCAATCTAAAGGGCTTCATTTTGTATATATTTGAAAACTCGTGAATTGGATTCCATTGAAACAAGTTTGACTAAATGGACCGATTGATTAGCTGAGATTGGGTACACAGCACTGTTAGTTAGGGTAGATAAGGCAATCTAAGTCTGATTTCTCAAGGAACTGTTACATATAAGGTTCCCCACGAGTTAGAGAAAATTGTATGCGTCAAGCTCGGGAGTTTTGCACTTCCTCTGGTTCTCAATAAACAGGCAACAGGAGATTCAGTTTTGATTCCACTGCACCTCTGGGTAACAATCTATTAACTTGCGAATAAGTGTTTTGTCCACAGACGTTCAATTTGGTGATTAAATACGGAATGCAACTGCTGAAAATTTGGGGGCTCGGTATTTCTGATGAGCCCTCAAGATGAAGGTGGTCTGTCTACGAGTTTTCTCCAACATTACGGGTTGCTTCCTATTGTGCTTCGGTCGAAACCGCAGGAACAAGCTATCTTTAAAAAAAACAAAAGAAGGCCCTGAATTGCAGCAGGATAAGACTGTCCTAAGAGAAGTTACAAGGAACAGAGTAGCCACGAGGAACTTGGGAGTAAAAAATACTGGTTTAAGCAAGTTGATACATCTTCCTGAGCACATGGATCATATCTCCCAGCGGCGACCGTATTTAGCGGCTTTCAACAAGAGGTCATTCAAAGCAAATTTCCAACGGGATCTGTAGGGTTCAAGATCTTAGATCAAAGTCGGACTTTTCGATCAATTTGTTACCCGTGAAAATTTTTCTACACACATGACATGATCCAACAGGTGTTTTAGTACCAACGGTCAATTTTTGTGGATAAATTTGGCATAGTATATATATCCTTCATGTACCAACTTGTACGAGAGGTGCCACTCGCCCGAACTCCTCGAAAGAACGCCGTCACCGATTTCCCTTCACATTCTCCCTTCAGTAATTCATTTACTTCTTGCTAATCTGCAACTCTGATCCGATCACTGGCTTAAATTTGGTTTCGATTCCGACTGGTCCGGGTTTCTCACTGTCGATTTTTTGTCGCAGGTTTGTTAGCTGGCAGTTAGATATACCTCCAAAGCGATGTCTCATCGTCTCCAGATTTAAATCCCTATGAAGTCAAAACATGGTAAATTCTATTTTATTCTCTGATTACGGTGAAAATTTAAAAATATACCTTGGTTTGTTCTGAACTCTCTACCTAATAAATATCAGGTGTACAGACGTAATACACCACTCGTAAGGTGCTGAAAGTTCTTCGACAGCCCATGACCGGCTCCGATCTTTTTGAGGCTCATCAGGTAGGCGAAGTTCCCGAGTTTCCGTCAAACGTACATTCTACTTGAAACCAGATTGCACGAAATTATGTGTACTTATGAACGCTGATCACTTACATTCAATCCCATGACTTTACTTCCCACGTACTTGAAATTTATCCCATGTGTGTACTTATTCCAGCCAGGACTTATTCCGTAAATATTCAGCCAAACGAGGTTTTCCTCAAATACTGGGGCTCAAAATATCCTTCTTGTACTATAGCTTCGCTCCATGCTGTTCCTCGGCCTCGGAAACGTTGTAGATCGCAGGTCAATTGTGCATGCATAGCGCTTTCAGTTAACTGACATAACAGAAGGCTTGTGCGAATTGCTCGATAGAATTAGATCTTGCCACGTTATGCAACGTTCAAATAATCGTACAATAAAGTATGATGTGACAAAATAGATGAAACCCTAAGTTGTATGTTTCACTTGTGCTCACTAGAGGTAGCACGGTCCAAAACGACTAATGAATTGCGAATCAAACATTGCGGATTCATTTCTATACAAGTGGCTACTTCACGCAAAACGTATGGGCACAGAGTTGCGGATTTACAATACGTCTCCTGTTAGCTTGGCCAGAAAGGGACTTACGGATCAATCAGTATTAACAAAAACGCACATAAGTAGTTTAACGCTTACGAATCTTACGGATTCTGTCCTGCAAGTAATACCATTCAATGCTGAAGAGTCGAGGAGCACTGCATAGCTATACCAAAATTATTTGGACTCATAAGCAGTGCGCATATCACAAAATCCCGCAATCCCGATATCCGTTTAGCAATTACCCGGTTGAACAACGGCAGTGTGATTCCTTAGAGCTATCGACTTCACTAACGCCATCGTGAGCTATTTAGGCACCAGTATGTAGTATAAGCGTATTGTTGTCGATGATGACGATGTTGATGAGCGACAAGACAAGGGTAAAGCAGGACTGTGTCCTTGCCCGAAACTCTATTCAGCTCCTATTCCATAACATTCTGTGCCACTGCGAAATTGGTACAGCAATCCAATCCTGCTTGGAAGTTAAGTCGTTCGAACCAAAGGTTTTCCTGCTATGCCGGTTCACTTTTGTATGATGCTATTCGTGAACGGCTCTGCTTGAGCTTCGCATAATGAAACAAACTTAAGCAGGCACTCGCTTCATCGGCATCTTAGCTTAGATTTAGGTGTAACTATTACAAGAATGCCTAACTTTTATCAGGCTACAAATGAGGTTCAACCTGAAACACCACACATTCAGACTGTTGATTGTGAGAAGCACGGATTTCTGCTTTATTGTTAGCACATTGTCTACAGAATTGACGCATGATTGTGAAATGAACGCATTGATGCCTAGGCTAGCATAACAGCTGGAAATTTGAGAAACGTGTCTGACACCATCATTGCTTTCGCATAGATACTAAGATTACAGTGCACTGAATTTCTGTGTTGTCTTCGCTACAGTACACTAGCGAAACATAGACGATATGCAGATCACACGTC